GTTGAAGCAAATCAACATTTCGTAAAAGCTTTGTGCTATTATTCCCTGTAAATTTCCCTCAGTGAAAAGATTGTTGTTGAAAGTTCATCATTTTTGGCCACTCTAGCGCCTTTTTCCACTGCAGACAGACTCTTGAAGAGGTAGTTAACAACACCAAGAAGCAAGTGAAGTTCCATGGGAGGAATGAAGTCCAAGATGAGCGTTCCTTCAGATAACTTAATAACTGGCTTATGTACAACATTCTGAAAGTCTCAGGCTTTTTTTGTTTGGGCACCTGCTGCTTGGAAGCTAATATAATCAGTTCGAATTAAGCCAAATGATCGGAGCTCACCACGGTTTGACTTGATGTCACACCAAATACAAGGGTAAACACTTGTGTGAGACTGCAAACCACAAATAATGTTTGCAAACTTCATGTCACATTGCAATTTAAAATGCAATCTCTTAAGGCTCAATTTGTCCATTATCTGTTTTACATTGTCATAATTTTCAGAGTGGTTTTCTGCGATAGCTACCAAAAGTTGATGCTTCATTCCTGAGTCCTTGAAGGAAGGTTTCTTAGTAGGGGGAGAAGCATTTGGTTCAAAATCAAGAACATCTAGAGACACTTTCAGTAACCTCCTATCTTGATAATTTCGTTTGACTGAGGACCTCTGATCTAAACTATAGTGTTTCCTAAAGCTTCAACATCTTTGCTGTATACCGATAGACGTTATGATGTGTCTGAAATTTCTAAAGTGTCAAACAAGTCAGAAAGAAGCTTTCCAAGAGACTCAAATTTTTTCTAAAGTTTTTTTCAACTACTCGCTGGGGAGCTTTTAGTGTATTTTAGTGTATCCATACTTTTATAATTGATCTACTGCCCCTCATCTTATATACGCCCTCTTCCTCTCGTAGTGTACGTACTTTATGGACGATCCTTTAGTTGGTTTCGAAAATGTGTTATCCAATTTTAGTCGACTTTAGTAAACATGTTAGTAAATTTAGTCGACAGTCGAATTATTTAATAGCCGTAACAATACTATGTAAAATTCTTGATTGTAAATAAAGAAAACGTTTTGCGAATTTGAGTAAAAAATTTTAATTTTTGGACGAGTGGAATAAAAATATAAATCCAGACCCCCGATTCCAGACTCTGTTCGGGGTATCGAATAAAATAAAAAGAGTGTTCCTAAGTTACCAATCCAAGAAATCAAAGAGATATGGTTATAATTTCTGATCTACATTTTAACCCTGATAACATAAAGTATTTGCGCAACTTTTTAAATCAACATAATCTAGAATATGTGTTTGTTTTTTATACTTTATACTTTAATGTAATGTTTTTCTCTAATTATTTTTGTAAAAGAAAAACAAAAACTTGAAAATTAATATATGCTTTGAATATTATATCCTTCTCAGTATATACAATATTCTATTGTTTTTCATATAAAACAGTAACTAAACTTTTCATATACAACAGTAACTAACAAAATTTTTGTTTTTAAACTAATAATTAGTTTAAAAATTTAAAATTTTGATATTTACACATACATCTCAAAATATAATCAGATGCTATTTTACCTAATCTTCAATAATTCAAATTTTGTTAGCATTTCTTTAAAGATGCTTACTGTTCAGATCGATTATGCAGCGCAACAATCTTTCTTTGTATTCTGGATGATTATTGATTTGCTTTTTGTCATCGAGAACCTCCTAAACAGTTTACTAACTGACTCCAGCACGGGGGAAATTGACGCAAACTATAAAAATAATTATCAAGTGCAAAAGTTATAGAATATTTTTACTATTTATTTTGACAACAATTTTAAGCTAAAAAGTTTATATATTACTTTTATATATAAATTTTTAACACATTTTTTATATATATTATATATATATAGTTTATATATTACCTTTAGTTGGTCCCAAATATTGGTTCGTATAGCAAGCCAAATCAATAGCTCACTTTTTATCTATTAAAAAAAACAACCTAAAACTACTTTTTCAATTTTTTTTTCAATTTTTTTGTAAAAAATAAAAAAAATTATTTTTTTTAAAAAAAAAAATTTTTTTCCATAGTAAAAACCAGCTCTGTAAAAATTTTGCCAACTTACCCCAAAAGCCTTTTTCAATAAACAGTATAGAAATCCTGAAAAACGGCAAATATTGAAAAAAAAACTGATTGGAATTAGTAAACCAATTGTAACTGGAATTTTTACAATAAATATTTCTTCATAAGACTAACTATTTTCTTTGTAAAGTAAAAAGGAAGCGGCAATGTTCAAAAAGTTACGTTTTTGTACAAACAATACTAAAGTGAATGATGAAATAGTTTTTGAATTTGATGAAATTTGAAGTTGATAAAATTAGGAAGGTTTCACGTAATTTTTGTCACTTTCTAATAAAGCGTAAACACAGTTCGTCAACTAACCCCTGCTGCCAACTAACCCAACATAATAATTGTTGTATGTAAAAAATACCAATAATACATAAACCAGTCAAAATTCAAGTTTACGTTACAGTAATTAAACTTACAAAATAATTTTTTATATAAATAACTAAAGATATAAGAACTCGTTATATAAAATATAAGAGGTACCTGAAATAAAATATTTGCTTCCTAAGTATATATTACAAAACAAAAGATAAGTAAAGAGAGTAAATGTAAATATTAAGATAAAAAGTTAAGATAAAAAACTTCGTAAAAATTACAATAAAAGATTTCTTAAGAGTTTTAATAATAGAATAAACAAACTTAAAGATATATAAAAATTGTTTTCAATTGAGAAAACAATTTTTTTTTTAACAAATCTTTAAAATAAGAAAAAGTTCCATTCTTGAGAAAAATCGAAAAGTTTTAAAACTACTTTGTTCCATAAAAATGTTTATGAATGAAATACAAAAACATAAAAATCCTCCTCTAAGTGAAATACAAAATTTACCAAAATAAGTTTTGAAAACTGGTTGAAGAATAAAATTTTCATTAGGCAAATTGTGTTTATATTTAACGTAAATCGGAGATGCGCAAGTTTTACATTTAAACTTAAAACACAATACATTATAAAATAATTTAAAAAGTAAATAAAAAAATAAAAAAAATGGGCGCAGTAAAATTTTTTTGCTTAAAGCAAAAAAATATTTAAACTACTATAAAATAAAAATTAAAGAAGATATTAAACAATTTTTTTTTAATTTACAAAAAAGTTTATTTTTGAACAAATTTTGCATCTTGAATGGCATACAAAAATATGAAATTATATGTAAATTTTATCAAACATAATAACAAAAAATATCAAAAATTTTTGATATTTTTTGTTATGCAATATATAAAAAATTAAAGCAACAAAAATACATCTAAGCTAGTATTTAAAATATCCCCCACAAGCTTTTTTGCAAGCTGTACATCATTTTTGCATCAATTTTACAAGATTGTTGCAGATATTATTTAGAACTTTTCTCCAAATGTTGTGGTATCTAATTCTTGCTTTAGGCTATTTATGGACTGTATTTGCACCTTGACTAAATCTTCGTCCATTCAAGCCTAAGTATATTCGATTGGATGCAAATCTGGTGATCGAACTGTCCAGGGCAATAAATTGCAGTAACCAGTTCGATCGAGCTGTGTGGGAGCTATAATTTATCAAAATTTGGCGCCTGGCCCCTTAATGGGCAGGCGCCAAATTTTGAT